GTTTCAGTATGGGAGGCCCGCCGAGGAGTAGTATGGTCGCAGCCACCCGGGCTGATAACCACATACGGCTGTGTACCATGGGACCGTGACCTTCCATTTCGCTTTTGCCCGAAAACACTTTCCGAAAGAGCCCAGCTGCACTGCAAAAGTTGCACTTTAAACTTGGAACCTGCATACAACAGGCCACGCATTGGCTTCAAAGGCTGAAGGTGGAAAGCTCCAACACAAGCATTAAAGACCTTGCAGATGTAACTGCACTCTTTTGGATTTCAACCAGGCAATCACTACGTCAGGCCAGATCAAACAAAAGGCCTCAAACCTGTCCATGAGCGCCACACCGCTTGCAGCAACATGACAAAAACCACTTCACTCAGTTTGTGAGTTTCAGAAAACTGCAAGCCATGTGCTGGACTGCGCATCCCCATAAAACTGGTTGACCGTGATCACGCCGGAGGAGAAGCCGGCGTGGGCCGGTCCACAACCAAGGGCCATGCTGCAATATCGCAAGTCACTGCCCAGGCCGCTTTGAGCCCACCTCTCTTCAACACACTCACTGTGGTTCCTCCATGCTTGTTGACAGTGAACCCATCACGCACATTCTTGGCCGAATTGATGTAGAACATGTTGGCCCACCACCTACAAGCGCGGCACTTCAGTTGTTTGGGGAGCGGAGATTTGTTGGCGTTCGAAAGGCTAAGACCGCAGCAGAACGCCGATTGCGGAGCTCTGTTGTGGATCAGCTGGAAAGATGGTGTAGCTCTTTTTGGTCCCACAAAATCCACCTGGCACTGGAATTCCAAGTTCCTTGAAGACTTTCTCCTGGAAAGGGGGCTACAAATAGAATAACATTAAACAGTCACAAAGGCGTGCAAGGCCGTTGCATAAAGGCAGTAGTGACCAATGGAATCATAGGATTAGTGAAACGTCAACCCTTCATTTGTGTTGGCACAACTTTTTCTGCAATACAAACAGCATTTCAAAGTTGATTACCAAATCACCACCGATTTATTCAGCCCGTTGTTCCAACACCAACATTTAGTATGTGCCCTATACCTTGGTTTTGCTAATCCAGTGATTCCACTGTAGCTACAAGCTTGGTGGAAACTGTAGTGTCCTTCTCGGCCCACGCTGCGCTGATCTCTTCACGGGCGGGTTGGGGTTTGGAGGCTCGGGCCTTCGGCGCTTTGGTCTCTTTGCCTTCTGGGGCAGGCTCCAAGGTGCCTACATCATGTTCTGCACTGGGCTCCACTGCAGGCTTTGCGCTTTCTGCAGATGGCTCCATCGACCCTGAATCTCCTTTCACTCTCTTGCTTGGCTGTTGCTCATCCACAGATTCTGTGACTGGGTCTCGTTTTTTCTCTTGCTTCCCACGGCCCCGCCCCCTGCCCTTTCCCTTGCTTTGCGCTTTTGCAGCGGCTTGTTGACGAGCCGCGTCACGGACCTGCGAAACAAAAAGATCCATTTCATGAACATTCAAACGGAACTTTAAACTAAAGTTCAAGCCTTAGTAAGAGCTGCCAAAACGTCTGGGTCCGCATTCTTCATGTCGCCAACATTGATTCAACCTGGTCCTGGCAGCCACAGATGAGATACACACACATTGACTTGTTTGAGGGTTATTCCATTTGAGCTGCGGTGAAAGAGCATGCGCTTGTATTCATCAGTGCATGTACTGTATTGCATTCCACGCGCTGTCAGGCCTGCAGCCCTTGAGACAGCTTGGGAACCTCTGGCAGCAAGGGGGCCCGGTCCTGCAGTCGTCCATTTTGGACAGCATGCACCACGGTAATGCAACCTGTCCTTCAAGGCCTGTCGCGTACGTTCGGGCTGGCGACTATCCTCACATGGTTCCTGCGCTGTAGGAAGCACGATGCAGACCGCTTCAAAACTTGTTGTTGGTTGTCACAAGTTGTTCTATTTTTTATAATTCAGCGCGCCTTTGCTGCGTCGGTGTTGTCTCCAGCTTTAACCGGGTTTGGTGCTGACAGGCAGTCCAGTGAAAACACATCCCCACTACATTCTTCACATGGCCATTCAGCAAGCGGTCCTTTGAAGTGAGCCTGAGATCTTGGGAGTCCTCTACATCAAGCTGTGTGTCCTGAAGGAAAGGAACAGGCCACCTCATTCTTTATGGGCCGTTTGACAAGCGGAGTCCGCCACATCAAGCTGTGAGTCCTGAAACAAATGAACGGGCCATGACAGTCGAGAAACCCGCTAAACACCTTTGGTAGGGTATGCTTTGCCCGAAAGCCAACAGGTTTTCTTTGAAGAAACCTCAAACTTCAAGGTGGCCTGAGAAGATGCGTGAGCTCTCCGGCCACCTCTTCAAAACATATAGGACCTAAGGCCTGTTTTTGAAGCGCAGGGTCCTCCATCAACACCACCTGCGTTTCCATGTTGTCTATGTTGTGTGGTGCCACTGCTGGTACCTCCAGTGAACAAAACATCTGGAAGAAAACAATCACGCGTTCACAACTGGTTCACCACCTTCGGCTCGTCAAGGCTTCCAGAAGAAAGGGCCTCACATGCCAAGTGAGGCCTTTCCTGATATACAAGTTTTTGCCATTGCCATCACTGTAGCAATTCCACTAGGACACTGACCCGTGCCGAAGTTGGTGTTTCCTGCCCCGAAGCAGAGTCGAACTCGATGTCCAAGACCTTCCATTTTTTCAAAGGAGGCAAGCAGCAAGTGCCACTTGCAATGTTTCAGTCTACTGTGTTGTTGAAACCCAGGGCCTCATTATCAGCCGCCGAATGTGTGAGCTTCTCCAAAGCGGAGTCAACATTGTTGGAACCATGAGCATCTGCAGCATTGAGCATGTATATGAATATGTTAGACTGCTTTGCCAGGCATCTTTTTAAGAGAACATGATCTCAGGGCTACATATATACATCACAGACCCACCTCCGACCACTGATCGAATAAGTTCCTTCAGCATCATGATGTGTTGGCTCCTCCAAACTTACTGAGGGTTTAAACTTTAAACTCTTCGGAGCTAGCAAACTACCGACGACTGTGCCCTAACTCCCAACAAAACTTCCTCGAACCATCAGCTCTGCGAGTAATATTCAGGCCGTGGACGCACATGGCCCTGATCAAGCCAGCCTGATCGCGAGCCCATTCCTCAGGTGCTGGGAATCTAGTCAAGTCACCATGGTCCACAGCTCATGCCAAAGATAGAGAGGCCAACAGACCCTAAAAACAAATGATTTTTTCAATTGTCTTAGAAGGGGTTTGGAGTTAAAACAATGGCACTCCCAAAAATTGCTTTTAGGGTCTGTTTGATCGTGTTGGATATTCTAGGCGATTTAGACGAGCCTCCTTTTGTGCCTTCTTCCGGGTTCCGTTAGGAAAGAAACCATAAGTGCGGGCACATTGGTATAGGATGTCCTGGAGAAGGAGTCAGAGTACAGAGCGTACGCTAGACGTTGATGCTCTGCAGAGCTTTTAGCCAGTCCAGCCTTGAAGTAGGTCATGGGCGGCACGATATCACCAGCAAACGTGCCATAGAATTGTGCCAAAAAGCCAAAGTTCTTTTCAACCTGTATGTACTTGCGCCACCCGACGTTGGTTGGAAAACTTTGGAAAGGACACACATGACTTGTTTCTGAAAAAAACGGCACCGACTCCGCAGATTCTGCTCCATTAGGGGCGATGACCCAGATATCTTTTTCCTTCAGGCCACAACACATGTATGAAAACAATAACAGTTTAGTGTGGTTGCTTGTTTCTGCACCGTCCTTCGACTCCCGGATCGAAGAAATTAGATTCTCATCGCTCTGCAAGAACGATCTGATGACGTCGTCCAACATGCGGTACTGCAATGTAGATCTGGCTTCATCGATCTTCGAGGGCTTCACCTATACAATGGACAGACAGCTAGTATAGCTGTGATCATGATGATTGTGTTGAGATACCCCACACACTGTCCTAGCCTTGGTTTCCTCCATGGTCCGAGGCCCACTGCAAAACTACGCTACTGACTGGCCAAAAAAGTGGGCTGCGAAGGGATTGGCCTGGGCAGGTACACAGTAAGACCTTCCACTGCATGTGTTTGTTTCCACTAGCAACTAACCAAAAGCAGTTGCAGGCGGGCTCGCACCATCCACATCAGAAGCTGGGGCATAGTTGTTTGGCACTTTCCACCGATGGCCTCAAGACCAATGGCTCCCTCTTAGAAACAACAAAGTTTTATCAAGTACTCCTCAAGTTGAGGGCCACACGACGAGCAATTGCACCGATCATAGCTCTAAAGCATGGCCCACAGCATCTAAATCAGGATGCCATGCAAACATGTTGTGTTTGTTGGAAGTCATTGCTCTACTCAAGTTTTGCAAGGCCTCAAAAGCGCCAGCCTGAGACATATTGAGACCTCCGAGATCCTCCGAGACTATGGGACTATGAACGTACTTAAAAATCAACTACATGGCCTCCGTCAGTTGTATGAGCAGACATGGCCACGTAAGCAACTGTGTCATACATGGAGCCTCAGGGTTAATTCATGGAATCTAGACAGTTGATCAGTGATCTATCCATGTTTATCAATGGATCCTTCTATCCATGCATGTTTTTCATATGTCGGACATGCATGATGCCGACCTTCTGCAAAAATGCAGCTTGAACATGCCATGACCACCTGCAAAACGTATGAACACTCATGCAAATCCTGTGCTAGCATGTTAATGGAGTCGTGATTAGACAAAAGTAAAGTACGTTCTTTCAAAAGTAAAAGTAGGCCTTTAGTTAAGGACCAGTTTAACGAGTACTTTGGTTCATAGGGTACCTGTTTGACCTAAATGACATATATTTGCTGAAGGTCATCTGATTTGTTCAGTCATATTCTAATAGAACAAATTCCGATGACCTTCAGCAAATCGACCTTTCTTGCCGAAAAGGATCCACATGTCTGACCCTTAGGTTGGAGGCCGAAGGACATGGGTCGCTGCCACGCTGATCGGGTCGCTGCGGGGGTGCTCGGTTTCGCGTTTCATTGCGCGTCCTGAGCATAGTGATCCTCGAAACCCAACTCGTAGAGACGTAGCAGGCTGCAATGCCAAACCAAGTCTGCCATGGTGCACGTGGTGCCACACACATAGGGGCCACCTGGCAAAGAAATATGAAGAACAGCAAATCAGGTGAAATAGATTGAAATGATGTCAAATCCATGTATAGTTGTTTCCTAGTTCTTCCTACTATGTTATTGGTAGAAGTGCTCTATAGCCACGCCATGTGTATCAAATCTGTTCAAATCCAAAGAGCAATTCCCCAACTGCATCCGCAGCATCTGTGACTCCTGCAATCTTTGTGACGTCCACAAAAAACGTATGTGTTTCTGGTGGAGCAAACTCTCACGCGAAGCTGAACAAAAGCAACACAACAAGCAATTTTGGTGTCGAAATTGAAACTTTAGCGTATGTCGCTTCTGCGTCGTTTTGGTGTCATGTTGTTGTCACGAACTTTCTGCATCCTTCTGTATAATGCTTTCCTGCGAGATGGAACAAATAACATTAAACAATTTGTTCAAGGTCCAGGCAAAATATGCGTCTCTTTGGCATTCTCCGTCTTCGCGCCTGTCTTCCTCAGATCAGCCTCCAACTCTAGAAGCATGGCATCCACCTGTCAGGATGGTCCAATCGTGAATTGCTCGCGGTGAAAACGACTGTGACGCTCGAGGACTGGCTCAAGGGTATTCGCAAGAATGAAGGGGATCATTGTTAGGTTGCAGGCCGACATCTGTAAAAAACAGTGAGCATTTCTGTTCATCACCTATATTCTTTATAACTATAATGTTCTTCTTTGGGGGGGCAGCCAATTTTTGAGCCAAACCATTTATGGAACCTCCCCTCCTTCGCCGCTCGGTAGACCCACCTTTGCCAGCATCGCTCGGTACGTCTCCTTCAAACCACTGAGCTTGCCCACCGCGCTCTTCGCCAGTTCTGCAAAAGGGTCACCGGGCGTTTTGGGCAGGTTGCAGTATATATAGTGATCCCCAAATAGATAGTGGCACGGTGTCCAATACATTTGTAGTGGGAATCTACTTTTCTATCAATTTTGGTGTCTATATAGCTCTTTTGAAGTGATCAACAAAAGCTTCAGTTGTTTGAGAGTGGTCTCAGGTCTTATGAATGCGAACAAAATGATCCAATTGCGCGCAGACTGAAACGTCTGGAAGAAAACGCGCCAACATCATCCAACTTCAATCGAACCCACATGCTGGTCTGCAACCATTGCATCTCCCCACGAGTTGGTGTGGAAGTGGTTGTCAAACCACATGAATCGAGAAAGGCACGATGGCTCAAAATAGAACCACAAACAAAACACAAACACATACACAGAATAACTATAAACCTAGCAATGGGCAATTCGGATCCATTCGGTATGTTTCTTGTTGGGCCTTGACACACACCAACTGGGTGCCAGTAGAGTAGAGGAGCCAAGGCACCCGTCTTCTTCTTCTTAGCCTCATAGAGCTTGCGCAACTCTGGCGCCAAATCCTCCGCGAGCCGCGCTTGGAGGCTCTTCAGCTGTCCTGGGTGGATTGGTGTGGGGGGGAGAAAGCCGGTTGGCTGCCACGGGACTAAAGATGGCCTCTCTTGGTAGATTCCGTTCTGGTCGTTACAAAGGTCCAAAATATAAACACTTTCACTATCATTCACTGCTTCACAATGATATTTCCCACATGTCCAGCTCTTACAAAGGTTCAAGTTCAAAAAGTGGAGCATAATCCCTCGCAATCTCTCTACTTGAAGGGCAGGGGACTCAGCCTGAGGATCAGAGAGTTCGGGTCTCTACACCAACCCCTGCCCTTCGATTGGGTGCCGGATCCTGAGCATCTTAGTTGGATCGATCTCATCCAGTGTGGCTTGTGGATTCGGGAGCTTCTTCGGGGCAAACGTTGGACGTACTGCGCGGATACCTCAGTGAGATTCCTCGGCAAAACCAGCGCTGTGGTGCTCTTCCAGCCACCCAAACGCGGTCCTGCTTGAGCATTGCTGATGACACCCGCGAAGGCCACCACCAATGGATCCTGTTGGGCGCTTTGCTATGTTTTTGCAAAAACGGGCAGCTGCTCACAAACGAGGTATAGTCTTTGTCTGGCAAAAGCTGCTGGCTTGTGCAGGCTCATGCTGCTGAAGATCAAATCAGTACATCTAGCCCAATTGGCCAATAATGACCACCTGTCTTGAAACCCACAACTAGAAAAAGCCCTACCTATGACCAGGTTCTATCAACATCCCCCCACCTTTTGGCTGTGAGTCTCCATTCCTTGTGGGTCCTGGTATATTGGGCTGTGTACCCCTTCCTTCTCACCAAGTGGAACCAAATCAACACGCCAAGCTCTGCCCGTTCCAGCCCTGGGGGAGACCTAAAGCACCTGCGACGTAGATGCTCGGAGCTCGCCAGAAATCTTAACGACTACTATCTCTTATAGAATCCATCTGTCACATGTAGGGTAGGTGACAATCTCCGAAAGGATTGCAGAACGTGTTTGTTCTTGTATAACACTCTCTTCCCAAGAGAGACTAAAGTTAAAACTCGATTGTGTTCGACCAGTCTAGCAAGCTAATAATAGCCATCTATAGAAGACTGCCTCACATCTCATTGCCCCCTATACACACACATCCTCCTACAATAACAACTTCACTTCCTCCGCCGACCAGGTCGGGCCTACGGATGTTTTACATCGCGTCCCCTCGAGTCACCTCTTTCACGGAACCTCGGTCCACCGACCACGGTCCTTCCGTTCGGCAACCACGTCTGCGAGGTGCAGGCCGTACAAGATGCCCTGGTGCGGAGTTTCGTCGACCAGGGCCAGGTGCTTTCGGATGAGCACTGCGTGCTCCTGAGAAGGGTCGGGCAGGGACGGGGGTCCCTGGAGCGACGGCATGGAACCAGTTAACATCAAGTAACAGTGTGGTGGAAGGGACTCCAAACGAAAATGCAAAGACTTGCACCATGGTTAGATGTTAGAGTCTGTGTGACAGTGATACGTATATATATATATATAATTACATATATATATAGGTTACCAAGAGCATAGCATTGTCATGCATGGCCGATTCTAGTTGGTACTCACGATTGCAACGACTCAAACATGCCCTGGAATGTTAAATCTGTTGGTGGTTTCAGAGTAGATGGCACCGTGGTTCATATGGACCCCCCACCTGTCAAAGACATCTTGGGGTGCCATCGAACCTCTGAAGCCTCAGAACCCCGTGGCGTCGCCCGTCCCCAAATCCTCTAACACGATGTGTGTCCGATGTGTGACCAACATCCTTTCCCTTCAACCAATCCGGTGAGTCGCGAGTCGTCGGTCAACCTGTTCGTTGTTCCAACCAGAAACTCTTTCAAAGACTTGGTCATGCCACAATGCCAAGGCTCTGGAGGAATCAAACAAACCTTCGGCACAACTTGATCCACATACTCGCAAATGGCCTAGCAGGCTGAGAAGGATGGAACTCATCCGACCAATGGATTCTCACAGCGCACTGATGGCATAGCACGAAACGCCAAGGTCATGCGGATGTTTGGGTCGGTTTGGCTGAAGTTCCTTAAGTTGACTTGCATCAATCGACATATGTTGACTGTGTCGGTCGTCCGGATTCACGGATAATTGCCCACCACCCAACTCTACAATGCTAACAGCTAGCATTCAACAAAACAACGTTAAACTTCAACAAGGCCCTCACACTTTGAAAATTTTTGAGGTCCTTCATTTTCTGATCCACATATCTTCTGGATCCACCCAAAAAGTACAGAAAAAAAAACATGTCCAATCATACCTCAACATCACCCTTCCCGTTCCACCCCCCCAATAAATATATTCCCCCCAGGTCGCACCCACGTGCGGCGGTTTTTCCAAGGGGCACACGGCAAGCACGGTTCACGGTTCACGCCTTGGAATCCACCACCACCCGTCGCTCTTGGCGATCCACCAATGTTGGCACCACCAGCGGATCGAAGCCTCGGTGAGTCGACACGTCGACGAGTCGAGTCGATTGCCACTCGCGCATTTGGCAAGGCCCGTCCTTCGAAAAATAATGTTTTTGTTTGGTTTTGTTTGAATTCTTTTCCCGGCTTTATAACATGCGTACATCTATGATAATTTATGCCTATACATCTACCTTCATATGTTTTTTGGGGTTGGTTCATGTTTTGATCTGTTTTGATCATAACTTTGTTCTTGGGGCTGGCAGCAAAACATTTCTGGAGTGCGGCACTTTTTCAATTTTGGAGAGAACAGGGGAAACAACCAACAATAACATTTTCCAAAAACATATTTTACTTCGAGTGGTCACACCCTGACAGGCGATTTTGAAAAAACAGGGCGCATGTATTGACATGTATTGACAGACTAGCCTGACAAAGGCAAACATGCGGATTGACACAATGTTCTGACGCTGACGCGTGTTTCTGCATCAAACCTGGTTTGAATGTGCGCTCTGACATCATCTACCATAAAGGCTGGCAAATGTGTTTGACGTCCTTGTTGGCATGTCTTCTGGCATTTTTCCTGCCGTGAAGTCTGCCATGTGCTGTGACTCATGGTCCGACTTTGGTCCTGGTATCTGCCCTGACATGTATTCCGACATTTGTTCTGCCATCAAACAAAATGTCTATATCTGGCATGTATCCGGGCAGTCTATCGGGCATAAATTCTGGCATCCTATCTGGCCTACATTCTGCTACTCGATCTGACAAAATTTCAGGCTCATTCTATTTGCCGTAAGCTCTGGCATTCTATGTGGCATTCTACCTAGCATATATCGTCTAGCTCTTTTCTTGGTACGCGAGCCTAGTATCTGGAATAGTCATGGCATTCTTTCTGGCATACATTCTGGCGTTCTATCTGGCGAACAAAGAAGCTGTTGGCATTCTATCTGGCATTGTGTTATAGTGTATTTATGTGTTTGACATATTTGATGACATTCTTTTTCACATACAGTCTCGCACTCTATCTAGCCTACATTCTGGCATTCTATCTGGCATACTTTCTGGCATTCTACTTGGAAAATGTGCAGGCACTCTATCTTGCACAATAATTCTATCTGGCATACAGTCTTCTATCTGGCATTTATGCTGGCATTCCATCTGGCCTATTATTTGTTGGCATTCAACCTGGCAAATATTCTGGCATTCTAGCTGGCATAAATTCTGACGTGTTATCTGGCACATTGTATGTGGTATATATTCTGGCATTGTAGCCGGCATAAATTCTGGCACTCACTCTGGCAACTTGTATGTGGTATGTATGCAATTCTTGCATATATTCCAAAATTCTATCTTGCACTGTATCTGTCGAGGTCTGGCGGCGCCCGCTGTGATCTAGCGCCCGCAGTTGAGGTACGGTGGTGCCCACTCTGATCCAGCGCTTGCTGGTGTCAACCATCCCCAATCAAATATTGATAAACGACCGGTAAGTGGATTCAACAAACGATTGTAATTGTAAGCAGTAAAAGATGGGCATGATCGTCATGTAAAGCACCATCTATAGCCTTGTTTTGGTGGGCGGTGTCGCGTATAAGCTGGGACCTCACAGGCCACAGGTCGGTCACGCCGTGGGGCCATAGATTTTTCGCAAGCCAAGAAGCCCTGGCTTTCCGATGATGTCGAGCCATTGTACACCTGGTGGAATGGCTCGAACGCACAGGAAAAAAGTGCATAGTATCATTGCCAGTTGTTCACAAATCGTTGTCCGCAGGGCTTGCCCCTATGACTTGGAAGGCAGGATAAGGCAGGGCTCGTGCTGGGTTGACAACCTTGCATCTTTGGGTATTGCACCGGCGGCGGCAACGCTTTTCGTGTCTTTCTGTCCAAGAATTGGCCTATACTTGTTACACGGTGACATGCAAGAGTGACGCGAACCCTTGCAGGGAACACAAATCTCAATCTGTTTTCAATTGTTTTAAAAACACAACCTCCACAAGAGTAGGGTTTCACGCCTGGAAATTGTTTGAGCTTGCTATTTTGAAGGACATGTTCTGGCCGGTATCTACGCTCACCCCCCAAAACAACAATGTCGCAACAACCCCACTACAAGGTCCGATTGTCTTCCCTCAAGTTGCCAGTGCTAGTGGGTAAACCAGGGCCATCTTGCGCAGCGTGCCGCTCCCGACATCGCCCGGCATCGCCGGTCTTGACACGACCAAAACCGCTTCCAACCTGTACAGGCCACAGCTCTTGCTATACAATGATAAGGGGGCCATTGGCCCGTACAGGTACAATGACCATCATTGCTACAATGCCCATACAGGTGACCCATCAATGAGCATGGCCCATGTATGGCCCCTTTATGGGCCTTAGCTGCCGCCTAACGGTCGAATGGCAGACCCCACTCTCCGTCCGACCTCTCCAACCAGCTTCGTGCTGGACGTGGTGCCCAGCGAACGAAGGCGCACCTGGGTCGGAGTTTCGACAAAGGAGCCCGTATGTCCAATGCGAGTTCGGATGGCCACTGTTGGTGGTGAAAAACACCTGGTTCCAGGGTGTGTAGCCACCTCAAGTCCAAAAACAGGCGATACAAAGTTCTTGGAAATGAGGTATACTAACGCTATAGACCCTGGTTGTCTGCAACTTGTTGTCGTTGCCACGACTTGAAGGGAGAAACAAATCCTAAACACTCCAGGTATGGAATATTTGCATACATCCACTCCTGAAACCACCCCAACGTAAGTAAATACATCTGTGCCACACATGGAGTGTCAGGGAAACGTGCCCTAGAAGATGATGATTCATCTGATGGACATCCCTAGCTACAAGCAAGCGCCCTAAGGCAGTGTCTGAAAGGCATATCACTGCAAGGCCACAGTGTTTAGAGCAAGGCACATGTTTACGAAAGGCACATCACGCACCTGGAGCCCCATGGCAATAGCGGCTTCAGGTAATCTAAAACTTGTCATCATTCAGGTGAACACATTGAACTCCCTTGCGGAAGGCCACGCTTGTGACCACCAAATCTTAATAGTTGACCTGTCGCGCGCACCCCACCACCCCAGCGCAGCAAAGAAGCGACAGCAAGCAGGCAGGAGACAACAAACAGAATCACAGCCCGCTCCCAGTTAGAAGCGCAATACCAAGCGACAAGGGGTCCAGTAGCTGCATCGACACAAGGGGTTTGCAACTCCTGCTTCACAAAGAGCATTCTATCAGCCGCCTATTGAAGGAAAATGCACTGCAAAGTTGCGAACCTCTCCATGCGCAACTTGTGCGATCACGAGGCCTGTGCCGACGCTGTGCCCCGTCACTGTCGTGGCTGCCATGTCCCACTCTTGTATGAGTCCCAGTGAGGCCAAGCGCTTCTGGACTTGTTCTGGTCCTGACCCCACCTGCAAGGGATGCACAGACACTACAGCTCCGGTCGCTGTGGGGTTCTCGCCGCCGGTACCACTGCGTTATGTGGAATCTGTTGAGATTCTTGACCGGCTTCTTCTCCAACAGGAACTGCTCACGGGCCAGAAGAGTATCAAGGTCGGATTGATCCAACAATCTCTTCCCAAAATCTTTGCATGCACCAGAAGGCATCAAAACTAACAGTTCAATCATAAAAATGTCACTGAGGCAATTCCAAGTTACAAGTTACAACCTGTTTCTCACCAGCTGCCTTTCATCAATTCTCGACCCAAAATGGGCTGATGAGCATCAAAAAACATCAAGAAAACATAAAGCCCCCATGCACACACAAAAGTTTCAACACATGCACAGAAGACTTCCAACCAGCCATTCCCCATGGCCACAGAGGATCAACCAAAGACATGCGATCAAATAAAGTTGACTGCTGGAATGCCGCTCCGCATGCAAAGATACGCCTTTCTTGACGATGATACGCCTTAGGGCATCGACATGCATGGACAAAGTAGGGCACCCTAGGCAGTTGTCGTCAGCCCCTTCCCCTTTCCATTCCAAGCCGTCCAGAAAAAAACACACAATCACACACTTTGACATTGGGTTTTTCAGTGAATCAGAATCAACGTCAAAAAGAGCGAGGGAACAGAATGGCGATCGAGTCAGCTCAAGTTGGATGTTGAACAATGTTGATGCGTGACTGCAGCTGCGCGACAGCGGAAGGCGGCTGAGGGAAATCGGTTTAAGGGAAGTATCATGAAGAAAAACCATGGAAACAACGAGCAGCGGCAGGGAGGACCAATGGTGTCAATGTGTTGGATGCAGGTAGGTGAAAAGAGCGCCCCCTCTCGATATCCTAGTCTGAACCTGGAGCTTCGTTGGCTCACGCCAGGAACGGACCCGTGAGCCCCCTGCATGACTAGTGAACGAACCAAAGGGACTCCTGGAAACGGAGGGTGACACACACACACACACACGCACTCCAAACCTTGGATGTTTGATGTTTGTCCAAACACCTCATTCAGCTGACCGACCCAAACGCTCCCAGGCCACATACGCCGGAGCGTAGTTGCTGTGCGCCCGTGGGTCCAGGGTCCAGGAGCGCCACGGGACGCCTTTTTCCATCAAGACCTGCGTGGCGCACGCGCGTGGCACACTCGGGGCGACCGGAGCACGGAAGGCAGGGCGGGCTGGTGGTGCCGGGATCCCGGATCGATCGATCTTCCACAAACGCACACACTTGATGGAAGAGCCAATCTTTGTCCTCAAAGAAACTGCACTCACCAGAACAGTGGCTTTGTTTTGAAACCAATAGATCTATTGAACAAACATGTTCGGAGAGAGTAGTACTCCCCACTGCAGTAAACCTTTGTATGTTGGACCAGGCTGAATTTGTGTTACAATCCTTTACCTTATCCAAACATGAGCACCAAATTCTGCCACCTGGTTTGACCCGGAACCCAGGCTGACCCGGGGAAGCAAATTCAAACACAAAGTGGAGTGAGTACATGATCTGAGGCATCTCAACGAGAATGCTTTGACATGCAAGCCCCCCCAGCTCAGAAGAATTATGAAGAATTGAAGCCTAGAGAAGAGAAGTCATATCTTGCTTCTAATTGTTTACAAAGAAACACATATAACTAACTACAAATATATAACATATATATTGTAATATAGTCTATAGGGCTTCTGGAACTGCGCATGTTTGTCTATCAATCCATACACTGACTATCAGGGCGTCCAGTGACCCGTGACCCTTCCCGCCGAGGCGCGATGCGCGTCTTCCAGGAACAAATGGACCACCTGAATGGGGATGAACTCATTGGGTCATTGGGTTCCATTTCTAAACAAACTCTCGGTCTGCGGTCTGCACCTAGAACGCCCCAATAATGGAAAATCAAACCTGGGCCGGGCCTCAAGGCGTGCTGTGCCTCAGAGATTTATCGGTAATTCAATAGACTGTTCACTTTAGGATCTTAGGCTGGGAACGAACGACCACAAGAAACTACTGTACAAGGTGCACGCCCCCTATTGCGCCGCGGCGCAAAATGAGCACTGTCTTCGGCAAAATGTTACTGGCGCTGTAGCGCCGTGCACATTTTCAAACATTTGCCTTGAAATTCTATCGTTTAGAAAATAGCAAAACATAGTTCTTTTTCGGAAGGTAAGTGCAGCTATTCTTTTCAACTTCTCGTTTAGCGAGTTTTTTGTTTCACAGTCTTTTCTTGCGTGCTGTCTAAGTGCTCACCTATACAATAGAAGCTCTTCTACGCTACACTGCGCGACTGACTTTGAGTGGGGTGGGGTGGGGGGATGTTGATGTTAATGTTAACGTTTGCTAAGAGAGAATTGTTGAATGAACTTTGCAACATAAAGGAATAAGCACCAAGGACCCTCTCCATCTTCTTGGGCAAGGCACTCAAAGTGGAAGAGGTCGAATCTGGGTTCGGAGCCATTGCCATTGATCACCTCACACTTCACCTGAGAGTTTGGTCTAGCAGTCTAGGGCAATGCGTGGGTGTCGAAGCAAGAAAGGAACATCCCTGTAGCAGCGCCCACAGGTCTCCTTCAGGTGGTGACCTGTTGGAGGGTGCTGGTACAAATCCCTGACAATCTACTTCCGGTAAAGAGGTTGTGGGATGTCCTACTGTTTAAGTCTTGTCGACTGAGCTGCTCTTGTTGACCCAGCATGGGCATGGAGAGAAGCAACCGTTGCCATTTTAAAAAAATAATATACAGGGCCACATAGGATCCTTTATAGTCGAAGTCAAAAGAATCTAGGGGCCCCTATGAAACACCACCGAAAGTTAAAGTTGTACTTGCGCGCTTTTCTTCTGGCGCTGGCGGGCCAAGCATTTGGGGGAGGTACAGGGAGGTAACCCGTTCTTGCCAATTCTTGCTTGGGGTCTCCACTCACTGGAAACTTCGGAGTCCACTTCGAGTTCAAAGGAACTTGTGCAATCATGTGCAATCCATTTTATATCTCAGCCTGTCATTCCAAAACGAGGTGCCCCAACAGACGTATGATGCAAGTGATGCGGACACAGGTTGATATTGCATCTTTTGCATCACGAGCTCACCAAAAACTACAAAAACAACACCATTCAACCACGTCTCCCCCACATCCCCTATATGTTCTCACTTATACATTTAAAAAGCTTCAGCCAGCCTATCGGCAGGCTCTTGTATGAATTTTGCTACTGCATGGATTTCTCGGGCATTCTGCTGATTTCTCCAGCGACCTGTGGCGCTGTGAATTCCTGGATTTCATGCATCATCAAATCAACGGTAACAGTAACGTTTGTGTTCATGCAACATGTGTTCTTATGTGAGCTTTGGACATTTGAATGGGAGTCCCCAAGGTACTGAACAAACATTGAAAACACATTGCATGTGTTCAAGGGGACTTTCAAGGGGTACTAGTAACTAGTATCACTATCACAGTATCACTTCATATCACTTCACTTTGTTTTGAGTCATCTCGTACTTCAAGATTAGCCAGAAAAAAGGTACGTGCAAGTACATGTCTGTCTGGCCATGAAGGTATTTTGATGTATTTTGTATTTAGTGTCCATTCAATTCCATTCATTGTGATCGCAGTTCTATACCACCTTTATCAAACCATCAAACCCTCAAAGGGATCTGGAAGCTGTATCATCTCCTTCACATGGCTGTGACATAAGTGCAAAGGCAAAGGCTATCTGGGATTGATTGATCCCCTCACTGTTCCTCACATCATCCCTTTTGGTTCCTCACCCGGTGGACCAGATCAATTTCCAGAGTGGACGAGTCACCTTCAAGTCTTTCAGTCCTTCTAGCGCAAGCTGAAAGGCGTGCGAAGCGTCATCCGCCATGGCCATCCGCCGTGCTAAACACACTGACGAACATGTGGGGGCGATGGCGTGGGAGTGATGGCGGGGTGCGAAGGATTGTGGTGGTCCTCTGGGAAATCGGTCTTTGCGATTGGATGATTGAAACATATGGGCAAGTAGTGAAATATATGGAGAGCTTACTTTCTGTTCAACCTATGACGTCGTTCTCAGCCTCCAGGTGATGACTGACGCTAGGCCGCTAGGCTTTGATGAATTCTCCCTAGAAAGCGGCTGGCAAGTTGGGTGGAGGTCACTTCAATTTAAGGAGTGGAAGTATGTGAGGACTGCAAGCCACAAAACCCTGCTATCAACCTGGCTTTGACAGCATGGATCTCCGTGCAAAATTCCCCTATACCGTCTGACCCCGGAAAAGTTTGCCAAAAGAAACGCCTGCTTGGTCTTGTGAAAATCAGCGCAGTGATGGTGAAAGCCATCCCCATCCATCAAAACAAACAAGGTGGCAGTGCGTCTTCCCTCTAAAAAGAATCAAACCTGTTCTCCATCCTAGTCCTATTCTCCTTTCTTACCACGTCCACCCCCCTCCGCCCCACCCCCTCGGGGTGCCCGAGCCGGCCGCTCGGAGTCGCCCTTCCACACGGTGCCGCCCTTGTGCAAGCGCTGTGTACCTCGCACGCGACCCGGGCCGCAACCCGCGGGGCGCGCGGAGTTCCGCGTGCGGAGAGGCACCGGGGGGTAGAAGTGGTGGGAGTGGCTCAAGCTGGGGAGGGGCCGGGACTCCCAGGACCTCCATTTCAAAGGTCATAGTTTTAGGCCACTGCAGCGGGAATTTGCCGTTGTTCCAACATCCGTTACGCCAGATGTCCAACCGCTAATTTGGCTTGTTGTTCCTGGACGTCAATTTGTCAATGATCCAATACTACCCAGAGTCTCTCCTCTTTGCATTTACACGTATTTTACCAACACTTGGTTGCCCCTCTTAGCACCACAGAGCCTGTCCAAGCTTGGACCCCCCAACCCGCCGAAGCACGAGGAACCGCCGCCCATGGCCGGTCGGGACGTATGCCTGTGCTCTCTTCATAGAGCAAGAGGTACGTCATCCGCCGGATCAACGGCAAAGCCTTGTGGCGGGAAGACAAAGGACGTGGTGGACTGCACAGAAGTCCATCCTAGGAGGAGATACGAAAGCACATGAACCTAAAGGCTATAGAAAAATCAAGATCCAAACAATCCCATGCTGCTAGATCTAGTGGTTTCATATAGAACATCAAAAGAGACAATACCACATTACCTTTAAAACACCCATTGAGGCCATAGGGCCTGGCCTTTTCATCGAACACACACTTCGAACTTGGATTTTCAGTTAACGCAATCTCCCGAGGAAAGGAATGGCTCAACGGTAAGGTGGAAAGTCAGCGCAATTGTAGATGTTTCAACAAAAAAGTTTTCATACGTGACTGCGGAAAGCGCACAGCGGCAAAACGTCTGCGGTGGGAAAACCTGTTTGGGGGTGGAAGCATGAAGAACCATGAATCAAATCGTGGAAAAGTAGGGTGACAGCTTGTGGAAAAAAACTCGGCAGGTACACAATGCGGCGTCCCGCATTGCTTCACGACCGATCCATCACTGTCTTCGTTGGGCAGTGAGTGATGGTGGTCCACTGCCCCCCTGCCTATGAGGAAAAGTGTTGGAAGACCCTTTTTCCAGGGTTGGACACACACAAGTCGCCGCGTTCGGCGCTTTTTTCAAACCCTCTGTCCAGGGGTGGACACACACAGACACACACAGACAGGTCGCCGGCTTCGGCGCTTTTTCGGCGCGCATGTGAGAAAACTAAATAGTCACCTAAAAAGCCTTAGAAACAAAAGGAAAGAAACACAGAAAGAGCAGCGCTAAGAGGGGAAGAAAGAAAGATAGGGGTAGTTACGAGGCCCACTAGTTACAAAACCTTCTAGTTACTGACTACCTAGCACTCTAGTTACTGAATACTTAGCCCTTGACTTGAAGGAACGGAAAGAAGTGCTGGGTCCGATCAACAGAAGGTTTCAACAAGCATTAGTTACCGACTACTTAGCAGTCCGAATTAGGTGCAATAGTTAGGGAGCGGGACTTTAGTCTTAGACCGCCCGGGTAGGAAAGACTAGAAAAGGAACAACACAGGGAAAGGCACCGACACACAAGTGTGTCGAGTACCATTTCCCTATGTTGCCCCAAATAGGTAGGGAGTAAAACTCAGCGGGGGGGGGGTGGGGGAACCTGCCTCATTGGGGGTGAAGTTGATATCCGATGTATTCTTCAAGAACCGTTTTTTGGCCCGGCGGCCAGTATGTCAGTTGATTCTGTGAGGGTGTCGGTGCCTTCCTGTGAAGTTCCAGTGAGCGGTGGTGCGTTGGGGTGTGTGCTTTCCCATGCAAGAACGGCGCCCCTGTGACGGGGATCACACTCAGCACCCGAGTGGGACGGCTGAGCAGGACACACTTCGAACTTGGATTTTCAGTTAACGCAATCTCCCGAGGAAAGGAATGGCTCAACGGTAAGGTGGAAAGTCAGCGCAATTGTAGATGTTTCAACAAAAAAGTTTTCATACGTGACTGCGGAAAGCGCACAGCGGCAAAACGTCTGCGGTGGGAAAACCTGTTTGGGGGTGGAAGCATGAAGAACCATGAATCAAATCGTGGAAAAGTAGGGTGACAGCTTGTGGAAAAAAAACTCGGCAGGTACACAATGCGGCGTCCCGCATTGCTTCACGACCGATCCATCACTGTCTTCGTTGGGCAGTGAGTGATGGTGGTCCACTGCCCCCCCTGCCTATGAGGAAAAGTGTTGGAAGACCCTTTTTCCAGGGTTGGACACACACACACACATGGAAGAACCGTCCTCCTTTGCACCACGCAAAAGAACATGTATATAATTTATACATAAAATAAATCAATATAAATCACTAGATATCCCTAATATAATCATACAAGCTGCCTCAACTGTTAAGCCCGCAAAAGACAGTGGTGCTCTGAGAGTCCACAGATGTTGCCTATAGCCTATATCAATGGATACAAATACCACCAGTTTAGGCATTGTCAAGCTGGGCCCAATCACTCTGTAACCCTGGTTTGCGTCTGGGTTCCACTCTCATGCTCGCAAGGCACACCACCGTCAGTCTCGAACTGGGAGATGGCATGTTCATAACTTCCCAAATTTGCAATAACTAACAAGTCAACATCTTGAACTGATCATGGTTCAAGCACTTTTGTCCAAACCATGCAGAAACAAATACTAAAATACTAAAAGAAAAAAGCACAAAAAATAACAACTCGTCCTTCTGGCAGTATGCCATGCACCAGCCGCCACGCAAGAAACCTCCGACGTCGACCTGACGCGGGCTCGCTCGAGAACTCTTCAGCTGAGGCAGGCACCGCCCGGAGGCTGGCTTCGGTGTCGTGGTTGAGCGTGTTGTTCAACGCCTTTCGCTCGGTCCGGGGGAGTCATGTGCGGAGTCATGTCGGTCCGACGATCGAGCGCTCCAGTGCTGTACTGAACACAAGCCGCGGCGATGGAAAGGCATTAGGGGAGCATCAAGGGAGCATCATGATGGCTCAAATGCACCCTGTCGTCCCCGGCTGACCCGTTCCAGCCTGATGTACCCCATGGCCAGTTGGGTCCTTCGGGCCGAAGTTCGGTCCCTGCCTGGTAGTACAAGGAATAGTCTCGGCCCTTCCGCACGTCTGTGCGGGGCCTCGTTGCGCACGGTGAAATTGAGGGGGAGCTGAACCAGTGTGCCCAGGCTCCCAAAAAGAAACCCTGGTAACCAGGACCTGAAGGTCTTCGTGACCTCCAAATGGAGTCTCTGTCCGTGATCTGTAAAACAGGCCCGCGAGCCGTCACCCTATCCTCAGATCTCAAGCTCGATCACTTTGAAGCTCCTGGAAGGATGCTAACAGCAACGTGGCCATCAAATTGATGGAGCACAACTCTCAAAGAGTACCTCATGTACAAAGCGGTTGGACTGCGTTTTCACGGGTGTACGCTTCCGCTTCAACTGAAGTTTCAACATTAGAGGGTCCACATGTCAAAGAAATAACCTCTTGCTGGGGCTGCTTCTGGGGCCCGCGCCCCAAGCGCTTATGAAGCGAGTAAAGGTGCAGCCTGGGCTGCAAGGCTGAAGAAAACTAAAGGCCCCCCCCCACACGCATCAGCACCAGAGTGAGCCAAAATGATGGGAATTCTGTAGAGGAAGTAAGAACTGATTATTGGGACTGGCGCCCAAAACAGTGACATGTAGAGACCGAATGATGCGAGTCGCTAATTGAACGAGCAGCTACTCACGAGGCACCCGCTGGTAGCGACATACAGTAATTCATGTTACGTTCAGTTAGAGGTGCGGTGTGTGCGAAACAGCACAGTTTTGTGAATATCAAAATGACAACATATACCAGTCAACTGGCCATATCCCCGGGTACTCAGTCAGGGCATCCTGTTTTGGCCATCAGGCCATCAGAATGTGTCAAACTCTGGAATGATAGAATTTCCCAAAGACTTTAGAGAAGGGCATCCTCGAACTGTAGGCCAAAACATGCAAAGACACACATATGTCACAACCACCAAAAGCTGGTTTTTCTAGTCCCCAAAATATTCAAGTGGCACAACAGCCAAAAGGTGGTTTATATGGACCCCCAACGTCCGAAAAGAAAAACAAAACATCTAGGGGTTTGTGCCATCTGCTCTGAAACTGTATTTGACTGCATTGTATTTGTGAGCAGAGCTGCAACTACAGGACCAGTGGCCAGGGCGCCATGTCATGATTCGCAACCCTACGAGGCATCCTGAGCTCACTACGAGGCATCTTGTTGCACATCAAAAATATCTGGCCATGTGGAGCGTCTTCGATGGTCGTGGTCCAGGGACATGATAGACAAATCACCTCTTGGAAGAAAACCTTTTACACCACTGGCGGCCGAAAGGCCACCGAAAGGATTTGTGAAACATGTTTGTCCAATCCTCGCGAATCATATTCTTTAGATCAAGAGGCCAAATAATAATGCGGTTTCTGAGTAGTTACTCCCCTGCAAATTAACAAAGCACTGGGTATTTGGAAATGGTCTTCCGCCGGTCAATTCGTGGATTCTCTGGTTCCATGTTGGCAGGAAAGTAATAAATTGAACACATGTATGTGAGAACATGTCTGACTTGGAAAAGAAACACCGTGAAACTTCTTGCAAGCGACGTGTCCCCCACCATGCTCTCTTCTTTCTTGGAGTCTTGGCCACACGTAAAAAGAACTGCTCCCAGGCTTGAACAGGATGATGCACCAGTCACCAAACCAAGCAGGTAACATGGTCATAACTACTGGCGAGTCATATATTATAGCGATTCTGGATGATTTGGTCACAGCTGGTTGACCCCTCTCTCTCTCTGTGTTGACCTGTTCCTTCAACAGAGTTTAGCTTTTGAAAACTTGGATGCATCGATCTAGTCGCCGTCACTCTTGCTGAGAATGGTTCACCTTGGACAGAAACATTCGGCTGACCCCGGTGGCCAAAGCCTAAGAGCTCCTTGGCCATTTCGGGAGAGATCTCCACAGCCTCCGGAGATGTGGTTCACCCGGCGGAACCCACTTTTGTGGGGTTGAGGAGAGCAAAAAACATATGCAAAAATGATCAAAAATTTGATGTTGTTCATGCCTTAAGTTCAGTAGGTGATTGCTCTACTCCACAAAAAATCAACCATTGAACAACATGGATCCTGGAAAACGATAGGTTCCTGGGGAACTCCCGAGTTGGCTGTACTCAAAAGGTCATGATATGTCATGATGATTTGCAGCTACCAGCACCACTTAGACTTACATAGTCAGGGGCCAGGGATGGCCAGGGGGTCTATAAACCACCCTTGGGGTGGTGCTACGCGCTCTTGTTTCTTGTGTGGAGTCCAATAGCATCCAATAGCACTCAGCTTTCATCGGATTTTCCGCGGATTTCCTCGGGTCCTGGCACGGACATCCATCGACCACACCGACCCACACCGGCCACGTCCGACCATGGGGACCCGTACTCAGACCGAGACCCATTGTCCCCCGTTGATGCCATGTCTTGCTTGTTCCTGACCGAGGAGTCTCCATATAATCAACCAACCAAGGCGCCCAGGTACCCCGCCCGTCCAAGCAAACCACCGCGACCCGTCATCGACCTCTCCATCTGCGTCGATCATCTGTGCCAACCACGACTCCAGCGAGGCACGCGCCTGGCGAACGGCGAAGCGAACGGCGCCTGGGGTGGAGAAAGGGATCCCTTCCCGACTTTTTGGATGGTTGATGAGTGTTAAGCTAGGCCTTTTTTTTCGGCCTGGAGATGTAAAAGCAGGTAGCGAATTGTACCCGCACTGAATCGTGATGGCCAGTGCTTCAGCACCTGTTCGATCACGATTCATCCACTCTGACGAACGACGTGGACAATGGTCCCTTGGAACACTTTCCATTTCCATCGCAAGTCCTGAACAGCAAGGGGTTCCGTACGATTTGGCTCGATGAAGCATCTGCGACCGCGCCTGGTTTCCAAGTAATTCCAGTTGCCAATTAAGGAAGAAACACGTTTGGCCCTTCTACTAGAATTCCATCGAACATAGTCGTCAAGTTGAATAATCCCAACGAAACAGTCAACAGGCCTTTGAAAGGTCTAGAGTCTAGAGTCTTGGGTCCCGAAATCATGGAAGTGGAAGTGTATGCCATATATGCCGCCCCATTGGCCCCCCCAAACCACCACCCCTGGCCTGATCGGCAGTCCTATTCCAGTCCCATGGAGCGTCTGGGACCTGTTTGGGAAGTATATTCGGAACATGGTCATCCGAAATCGTGGTCATGCCATCCACGTCACATCCACGTAACAAACAGCCGTTTTGGGCGGTTGCAGAGTCTTAAACCCAATCGCTAGGGATCCACATACCTTCTCAGAAGGTCCTTGGACCCTCCAAACCTACAATCGCAGTGTCTCCAATCACCTGAACATATATTTGGATACCTAGGGGCCTAGGCCTAGGGAATGGGTATCTGTTTCGCCATTCACCAGACCCCGACGGCATCATCGGCGCGTTTCGGCCCCACCTGTGCTTTTGTCACCCGCGTTTCGTGGGTCACCTCGAGCGGCGAAAGAATTCGTGGGGCCGCTGCAGATCCAATGGACCGTCCGCCGCACGTCTTTGTTCGTTTTTTTCCGCCTCCCAAAAGACCAGGCGGATGCCACTGAGGCGCAGAAAGGGACGAGACGAGAACTTCGACGTTCCTATCTCGTGACCCTCAAATATGATCAAATAAGACCGACAATACCTATATAAGACATCAAAACATCCATCCAGAGTTTGCTTCTTTGTCTTTTTATCATGGCTGAAGCCCTCTTTCATGATGCGCTGTGAGACATGAAATTACACATGCTTCCGTATTCTTCTACGCTAATCTTTGTCACATGGCTGAAACCCTTCACATGTCGGTCGATGGAAAGGGGTGAGGACGATCGGAGACTGCACTGGATGTTCACCCACATCTCGAAGTCTCCAAAAGAAGATACAATACAATACACCCGCGTATTTTTTTGAGAAACAAGGAGCCCTGCATTATAACCCAAACACTCTATGTATGGCATATTTGCGCACCTGAAAACCTCTCAATGTATGGAATGCTTGGGTAATTGTAGTTTCTGTACTAGTTTCTATTTTTTTTTTGCACGCCTTTTTCGGGCTGGGTGCCTTCATGAAAACCACGCTCTGAGGTCCTTTGACCCGAGGTGAACGCACCGCTTGGACAGCTTCGGTGTGAGCTCGAGCTTGTCGTGCCTGATTCGTGCTGCCGCTCCACACCGGGTGCATCTGGCCAGGCTTCCTTTCCTGCTCATCGTGTGGGAGGGGTGTCCACTCCAAAGTGCCGTCTCCAATGGGCCCACCAAGCACGGACTGCCAACGAAGTTGGTGAAGGCTTCCTCATTGCATCTTGCCAAAATGTAGCTGGCGCACTCGGAGCACCGGAGGTAAGCCTTGTCAAGCTTCAAATGATGCACTCCCTGTTGGACACCTGTTTGAGCAGCAATGAGCTCTTCGATCACCTGAAGCGAGTCTTCCTGGTCGGGGTGGGCTTCACAGCCATATCACACGAGGAGTCCACCGCGGCCCGGAGCTCCCCCAAGAGGCTTTTGGCGTGGAACCGCTGTTTGCAAAGGCTGCATCTCACTCCAGTGCGATAGGCCTGCCAGGAATGACCTCCAAGTGAGGGGTGCTGTTCTAACTGCTGAAGGACGAGCCGTTTTTGTTCGATCAAAGGCACTTTGGCAGGAGAGTCCACCACTTGGGCCTGATGCAAGAAGTGAGTCTTGTCTTTGAGGAGAACATTCATCCTGGTAGCAGCCACACAGAGGACATCCCTGGTGTCCTCATCAATGTGACGCTGCAGATCCAAGATCTCCTCATTGCGGGATTGCTTGGCAAAAGCACGAGCCATCTTGTCGGCCTCATGCTGGAAAGCCAGTCGAGTGGCGTTGGAATCTTCTTCCTTGCGGCCAAAGAGAAGGGGTCGAACTTGTGCGAAGTCCTCTGGGTCCAATCCCTGGTAAAGATCAGGGAATTGAGCATATGCCTCAGTGGGCTGCCACGCCCTCCAAATGGCGTGATCATAGATGGCCACCGTGACCCGCTCTTTGCTGTGGAGCGCGAGATGCTTGAGTCCATAGAAAAGGGCCCTGGCCCGTGTGGCCTGTCCCGGACAGATGCCTTTCAGGGTCGCCACCTTCTGCTTGGACATGACGTGGTGCATGCACAGCACGAAGACAAACCTCTTGTGCCGTCCGTCCCGGCAGGTAGGCGCTACAGCCAGAGAGATTGCATGGCCCACTGGGATGTCAAAGGCCGCCTGAGTTGTCCACAGCCCTTCATTCTGGAAAGTGCCCATGCCCCCTTCTTGGATGTAGAAGATGGATTGAACCATGCCTCGCTGCCAAAGCTCAGGCTCCGTGCCTGCTGCAAGCCTCTGTTGCCATTGATCAGGCAAGTCCTTGACCTTGCCCTTCCAGAATCGACACTGCCACAACAGATGGACGAAAGTGAGTTCGTCACCACAAAGGGGGCAGTGGCCCTTCTGCCCGTGAAGGGTGCCCTGATGAAAAGCTCTCAGGGCGGGTCCATTGTGACCATCATCCATCTTCTGCAATGTGAGACTGACCTGCCAATCTAATGGGCGTTCCAGGTCGTGGCACCCTTCATACCTGGTCAAACGAAGGAGACGTTGCCAGCGAAACTCTGTCTGGAGCTTGAATTGAAGCTCAGGCCAACCTTGAGCACACAGTCAGGAATGCCTCCATAGCCGTTCGTTTCCAAGCTTTGCCATCAGAGAGATCGAAGTCGTAGTCCAAGAGGTAGGCCTGCAGAGCCTGAAGCGGGCCACTGACTACCTGCCATCGATAGCGAACCTTCTGCAAAGCTCCCAAAGCAACATTCCAGCTAGTCCAGAAAAGGTGCTGAGTGCTGTCATCGAAGGAGTGGTAGACCTTCCAGACTGAGTGGAGGTGTTGCTGAATGATGGAGTCACCTGGGTCAGTGTGTTGTGGGTGGGTGTCATAAACCACATCAACCGAGCCCGACCGCTGCAAGCCCAGACTGCGAGCCGCCATCACCCTGATGTATTGGCGCCGTTGAGGAGCCAGTCCAGAGGCCTGCGCCCCCCAGGACATCACAGGATGGATGGCACTTTTGTGGATGCGGTGGCTGATGTTCCTCTGCAGCTTCAACCTCTGGAGGATGCCGGCTCTGCCCCGTCCTTTCAGAAGGCGCTTCTTGACCTGGGTGATTCTGCGATGCCGGCCCGCTGTTGCGTCCACCCCCAAGTCTCTCAAGACATTGTGGTGTTGGGGATCATGCTCTTGAAGGTGAGTCTTGAGCGCCCTGGCCGTCTCTTTGCTGCTGGAAATGAAGCCAGTCTTGTCAGTGTTGACCTTGAGGCCCGCCGAGTTGAGCAAGTCCCTCAGGGACCGATAAGCCAAAATGGCTTCCCTGGCGACATAGTCCGGATCAGTGCCACAGACATCAAAGGAGACATCATCAACCCATGTCTGAAGAGCGGCGGCTGGGTGGGCTCTCTGGAGCTCCTTGAGAGGCCGAAAGAGGACCAACTTGCTGATGGCAGCCTTGCAAGATGCCATGAGAGTAGTGCTTGGGGTCCCCTGCAATGCCCTCAGCCTGAATGAGTCGCGGGCCCGAATACAGATCCAAAGCGAGCTTGAGGTGCACTGGCGGATAGTTGAGTTCCGCTGCCGGCTCCAGAATGCTGTCCAAGTTGACCGTGTCATAGAAACATGACAAGTCAGCCAAGCACGTGACCGTGTGGACTCCCTGGTGCTTGCGGATTTCGGACTTGAGCATGCGTCCTACCGCAATGGAGAGGCAATCCCGCTTGGGTCTGGCTTGATCCCAAGGAAGGTCATCATCCAGTGTCATCTGCCAGCGTTGAATGTCATACTTGCGATAGGAGTTCCAAACGCGGTAAAGGCAGGAAGTCAAGGCAATGGGCCGCTCCACCTTGGCCGACTTGGGAATGAGGACAATGTTGGTGTACCTCAGTTGGGTAGGCAGCAAGGCGTCCCGCTCCATCTCGGTGAGCAGTGCACTGAGACGTTGAACCGCCGGATAGGGCAAGTGCCGAAGCATGTCATAAGAGATGCCATCCGGACCCGCAGCCTTGTTGGGGAGTCTACGTAGAAGCTTTTGCAACACCGATGAGTCAACGGGCTTCCACGTGAGGGCCTCCTGCTGAGCAATGTCCCGCAGCTGCTGTAGGCCTCTGATCTGGAGTGGTGCCGGGAGAGGGTGCCAAATGTCACCCCATTGTTGTTCCCGAGCCTTGATGCGCTCGAGGGCGGGCAGGTCTTGAAAAGGCCGCTCCCAAGCTTGCTCTCTCTGCCGGAGGGTGCGGAAGAGGCCACGAAGACCCTTGTGATGGGCGGTTTTGAGCCATTCTTGGAATTCCAGGCTAGTGGATTGCAGCGCATGCTTCTGGGCGATGTGTTCCTGCTCCAAGATCTGTGCCCTGAGATCCCCAGGATCTGAGGTGGGCGTCTCAAGCCATTGCCCAACCACCGCAGCAAAGACATCGGCAGAAAAGTCGTCGGAGCAGAACTGGGACATACTTTTCCGTCTGGGTGGCCCATCTGGCTAAGTCCGAACCCAGGCCAGTAATGAGGTCGTTCATGATGTAGAAAGGCCCGTTGTCTTCCGGGAAGCTGGTCCACTGATGTGGCAACTGAAAAGTACGGCCGATGGGAGGGAACCGCTGAAGTTGCTGCACTGCTTGAGCAGGTTGCTCACAGTCCACATAGACCTGGAGTGCACAATGAGGTCGCCACGGAACATCCCAGCACGCTTCAACCCGCACCGCCCCTTGAAGGGCATTGGAGACCAGGAGATAATCCAGCTGGCTGCCGTGCAGAGTAGTGGGCCCTCCAGTGTCCAGGATGTGTGCCTTGAACTTACTCTGAATCACCGTGGCGGCAAGAGCCGCTGGTTCGCTTTGCCAATCACCTCCTATGATAAAAGGAGCTCCCAAATGATGCAGGAAGGCCATCAGATGACTGAGTATGAGAGCATTGGCGTTGGATTGAAGAGTCTCCCCGGTTTTGAGATAAACCTGGATGAGAAAGAGAAGGAGACCATCTCGTTGAAGGCCTATGGCCACCCATCCATTGCCCTCGTGAAGGTACTCCGCCGCCTGGTGGGTCAAGTGCTTGGTGGAGTGCAAGGTCAAGAAACCTCCCGAAGTGCCTCCCTGGCCCGTAGGATGAGCCGCCTGACCATAGGCCTTCCATCCTCGGTTGGAGTAGTATTGAAGAGCCCTCCTGGTAGCCGCCTCCCCCATGTGGGTCTCGTGGAGCATCAGCAGAGCGTCATTGCGAGACCAGGTCCAGTCCTGTACCTTGGCCCCGAACTGGGTAACATTGCCGTAGAGGATGGAGAGGGTTTCCATTGCCTGCCTGGCCTTCTTGGCCGGTGGCAGGTGGCCCAATGTAGTCAGCTTGAGTGTCCTCCACCAGGGTGTCCGGCGGTTCTTTGACGAGCCAAAGTTGAAGAACCTCTCGCCTGTGGCGGCCCGAGAGCTCCTCGATGGGGATGGGATATTGTCCATCCTCTGCCAGCCAGACAGCGTTATCCATCAGAAGAAAAGACTGATAGTGCCCCGTTTGATGATCAGCTCCTTGATGAGTGACCAGAGCCACAATCCTGTAAGCAGCCAAGTGGATGTGCTGTCCGTCCTCCGAGAAAGGGAGGTTGATGTCCTGTCCAAAATCTAACTCCCGCTCATGTTTGGTCCATGCGCCATCGTGAAGCTGGAATCTTTGCAACTGCACGGGGGCCCCGTAGAGAAACGGGCCCCCTTCTTCGTCCGCCCATTGGCACACCAGCTCATCCAGCGTGAGGCTATGTTCGCCTGGAGGAAATATCAAATTCAAGGGCATCTGCTCGCGGATTTCCAAAGTGCCTTGAAGCCTCCTGTGGTAAAACTTCCCTCCATAGAAGGTGGAATCCGACTGGGCCCACAAAAACCCCACAAAGTCCGCCGCATCGGCTTGATGACCCGAAGGGAAATGCGCCCAGAGGCTCTGAAGATCTGGGTTCTCTGAGAGTAGCTGTCCTTGTGACTCCGAAAGACACCTTCGTACCGCTGTTTGGGTATGACCCCAGGCAGTGGCGGTGTCCTCTGCAAAGGCCCCACTCCAACACCAGCAACGGAAAGGGGCGTTGCCAAAACACAAGTTCATGCCATCAGGGTTGTCCAAAATGGTGGTCAGCACCTGAGAGATCACGTAGACATTGGCCAAAGGCGGCCTGAGATCCCCCGGTAGACAAAGATGTTGATGCACCAGGTTGTGCATCCTCCTGAGATCGGCCAGCAACTGCTGGCCATGGTGCGCCAGCCCTGTGGTCCGATATGTCTGACTAGCAGCCAGAAGATCTTGTTGACACAAGTCAAAATAGAAGACCTGGTTGGAGTCCAGGTCCGAGGCATGCTCCGTCTCCATAGCCTCCAGCAGCACTTGAGCTAAGGAGGGGACAGGTGAGGTCCTGGAGGAAGCGGTACCCCTTGGGGCCCGCTCTGAGGTAGAAGAACCCAGTGCCTCACCGCCCGCTCGGAGCTCACCCGGCTGTGCAGGGAGACTGCCTCCCAAAACTTTCAAAAAGGAGCGCCGCCTCTGAGGCCCATGGCCCTCCAAACCCCGCGGAGAGGCCAAGCTTGAGCCTGAAGCGGCCAAAGGCTGTTGATTGTGACAAACCCCACAATCAGTGAAAGAAACCCCTGCATGTTGTGCACATGTCTGATGCCCCTCATGAAGTGTCTCGAGCAATCCAAGCACCAAAGGCGGGTTACCCGCACGACTGGACCTCAGTAACCTCCTTCTTGCGCCTCTTAGCCTCTTCATCAGTGGAGGTGGGAGGCCGTTTCAACATGCTCTGAAGCTGGTTTTGCTGCTCCTCGGTCAGACTGACACCAAGAGTGGTGATAAACCCGGCTACAGCGGCAGGCACTGGGTCGCCTGTCTCCGCATCCGGCAAAACTTCCAAATCAGTCTTTGCTGAGCTAACCATAGTCATGTACGAGGCACTGGTGGTGGTCAAAGCCTTCTGTTCAGTTTCAGTCCTCCCTTGGATAGCCTTCATCTCCTCCAGCAGGTCTTGATAGGCTCGCTTAGTGGAGTCGATCTTCTGTTGGAGGTGGGACTTCTTGTGAGAGAGATCCTTCAGGAGGGAAACCTGCGTCTTGAGCTTGGATGCAATGTCCTTTTCGGTGGGAGGAGAGGGCTTGGTCAACTTCTCAACCAACTCCCTGACCTGGGGTGGGAGCTGTGCCATGTTCTCCACCAAGACGTCCTTGAGGTCTGGGCCAGGATTTGGCGGAGGAGGCTGGATGCCCAGATCTTGAAGCTTCTGTTGCAGAGCCTGGTCCAAAGAAGCCCAAGCCGGTGCCAGGGCCTCCGCAGTGGCCTTTTGGATTCTGGTCAGCTTGAAGGGCTTGGGTCCAAGGCCTGGGGGAGGTTTGACTGGCATCTGCTGGCGTCCTGACCTTGTCGGAGATCTGGACAACGGGGCTTTGGAGTAGCCTTGAGGAGGTCTGGCCCACTGCTCCCCACAGCGCCGACACACATAGCCCTCGCGAATGCGGTCAGCCCAAATCCAATTGAAGCATCCTTCACCGCCACAGACCTGGTAGGATCGGCAGTAGTTTTTGCCTCCTGGAGTCATCTGATCACCTGCTTGGTCCCGAACTGGCCGCGGAAGGTGGCAAGGACGTGGTGATCTTGTAGATGAGCTTGCCCGGTGGCGACAGAGCCGCCGGGTTTGAGGCTAAATGGCTTGAGCCGTACTAGTTTCTATATATATATAATTATATATATATATATATGAGCAACGTTCAAAGTACGTAATTACATCGGGATGTGTTATCGTGTTTAAGGTTGAGTATTAGGTCTTAAATTGTTGTTTTGTTTCCGGCTAGAACCAGCATTTTGAGATCTCACGTCCCTCTCTCTACTTGTTGCTTCCGCAAATTCCGGAACTACCTCATATAAAGTGTCACAAACAATTCCAGTTAACCGTTGGTCTCCGAGATCCTTAGTCCCAGCTTTCCAATTGATTCAATCAACTAAGAACTTGTCAACGTACCGCAACAAACACCTACCTCACACGTACCTCGAGCATACATCTTCAGATCAAATCAGGGGCATCTACGCATCTCAAGCTACAGGTTCTAAGTCATTTAAGGATCGATCAATCTGAAGGACCTTGCAGCCCCCCAAGTATAACCGCTAGTATCATCCTTGAACCCTGCACCAGACTTCAATATCTTTGAAGTATCTTCCAGCACTGAAGGAAAACATGCGGCACAAGCTGACTTTAATATAATAAGATCATCAAAAATCATAACAGTATACTTTCCCCGTGTATCCCCGTGTCAGGTGATTCATGTCGGTGATGCATGGCTCGTCATCTCTCTTTCGTCTCTTCATTGCCCAAACACCGTGGAGCCATACATCTCCTTCCGCAGCGCGTAGAAGTTGCTGGCTTCATACCTTGGTCGAACAAAAAATAGCCAGGCAACTTCTGAACTGGTGAAGCCAGGAGAACCTACAGGTGTGAAAACAACAACAACAACAACAACAACAACAACAACAACAACAACAACAA